GGTCACTCGTTATGGTCCGCGAACCAGTTGCCAGCGCAGGAGGTTAACCTCTCTTCTGCTGCAACGACGTGCCACACACGTCGAAAATTTTTGGCCCCAAAGTGGTGTATTTCCTCAGTTTTAAGTATATATTTAAATATAACCCAAGCAAAATAATAAATTTATTACTTCTTGGTAATAATTTCTATCCAGTGATCGTCGCACCGACGAATTAAAAAAAGAAAGCGACGAATTATTGAATAATTGGTTTGGTCACTCGTTATGGTCCGCGAACCAGTTGCCAGCGCAGGAGGTTAACCTCTCTTCTGCTGGAACGACGTGCCACGCACGTCGAAAATTTTTGGCCCCAAAGTTGTAATATTTCATTAATTTCAAGTATATTTAACCTAACTTTTTGGTAATAATTTCTATCCAGTGATCGTCAAACCGACGAATTAAAAAAAAAAAAAAGCGACGAATTATTGAATAATTGGTTTGGTCACTCGTTATGGTCCGCGAACCAGTTGCCAGCATAAGAGGTTAAGATCTTCATTCGATCGTTGTTCATAATTTTACGGTTAATTGTTCACACTTGTACTTGCTGAATCTATATATTTTTCACATGAATTTATTTCTCTTCCTGGCGTAGGTTTTGAGAAATCTCGTTGATTTATTTCGTTAGGTACAAGTTTTTCGAGTATGTAATACACGCGAATTCGCTGGTTTATCCCGACATATCTAGCCTTTTGTAATAAAACAATTGTCAAAGCATAGTCGTTACATTCAATCCTGTGATCAACTTCGAGCCTGAAGTAATATTTAAGAGCACTTTTAGTCGGAAAATAACGATCGCAATTCTTTGAAAGAACAATACAAAAATGCAATGGACAACTCTTTTTGCTCGTTGCAAAATGTTCGTACGTTCAATCTGTCCTCGACCTATAACAGTATAATCTGCATTTCAATGTTGCAATTCATACACTCCTTTCATTCCCTCTCCTCCCCCGCCCTTTTTTTTTTATTCAAAGTTTCGTATCAATTTCAGGGTATAGGAAATACAAATAACTCGAAGACAAGTATCGCGCGATTATATGTCGTGGAATGAAGTATCGCATAGAAATTCAATCCTTTCGGATTGCAGTGCGAACCCAGCGAAGCATCAATGCTATCCAGGCATTCTGGTTGCATAGCGAAGTAAATAATCCTACCTACGTGGCAACAACTTCCAAGTGACCCAAGATTTTTCTCGTCGGCAGTTTCTCTATTGTCGAACCGAAAGCGAGCAAAATGAGCAGTTTAATCAGATCAATTGCCATCGATTCCTACGCTTCTGTGCTTTTCTATCGATGCCAAACGCTACGAAATGAAATGAAATCCACATGAAATGAAAAAAAATAGCAAATTAAGAAATCAGTTCGGAATCATTTAATTTCTAGACTGATGATTTCTCAAAAGACAACTAAAGGACAATTAGAGATTTCGGTAGTTATTTACCTAAATATAGCTGTATATATCTATTAAAAATTGCAAAGAATATAATATACATAATTTAATACATTTTTACATGTTGTTGTATTTTATTGGAGTTCTACTACTTTTAAATTTCGTAAGTATATGACAATCCGCAATTCCATCTGATGAAAAATGTTTTTATCTTTTCTAGCGATTATTTTAACATTAGAACTGATCGAAATGGTCGGAATGACCAATTCATAATTTTAGACAGATGTATGGACAATGCATTTTCTAAAGATTTACATGATTTTTCGTAAAATGTATAAAATAAATGTATTATTATTTTTTTTTTTTACTTTAATCGAATTTTTCATGGAAATTTTACGCTTCAATCGTCGGTAGTTTTAGTGTTGAAAAAAAATCTTTCGTGGGTGAAGATTATTACCATAAAATGTTTACCATTTCCCATTGGTATTGAATGATTATAATGAAATATCAGAATACAAAGGGTAATGAACATACTAATAATAATATTAAATATTAATATTAAATATTAATATTAATAATAATATTAAATATTAATATTAATAATAATATTAAACATACTAATAATATACTAATAACTTACTAATACATACT